ATAAGCTTGTTAGAGACGTGGTGGCTTTTACCCTTCGAGTGGGTTTTCTGTGCGTTTTTTACAGGCACTTATTTGGCACTGCTGATGACATCATACGATCTAATGTGCCAGTGCAACCTCAGTCTATTGTTAAATGAATAACAAGAAAATTTGAGAGTGTGTGGGAGATGGATAAGCGAAAAAGAAAAGGACTGTGTGTGTCTGTACACGTCCACCTGTAAGTGTATGTTACATATTTAATTTATGTCAGCCCCTCTATTTTGTTCTTTTCTCCCATAATGCACCTCTCTAATACAAATGGGATAAAAGCAGCTTCAATGGGGCAGAAAACAGCTTTAGTGTTTAACTCTTCAGGCCTGGCTCTCTTTCCTTCTTTTCCTCCAGTTATCTTTCTCTCTCTGCCCCCTCATATAGACCCTAAACACATATGCCCAGACCTCATTCCAGAAACTGAACATGCAAACCACATAAAGCAGCTCATCGAATATTTAGTCCTGCCTCCTCAGTGTGCGTTAGTGCTCCCTGCCCTTTCTTTCCCATATCAGAGGTGGAAACATGGATAAAAAGATGCGCCCCGGCACCTTCATTTTTAATAACATAAGAAGGAAAATCTGGGTTTACAGTGAAGCGAAGCATCCTCCAGGACCCTCAGATACACACTCTCAAAACACACTCACGCTCCCCCCAGAGTACACCGCAAAAAGACATGCAGTTGAACTTGATCAAAGCAGGCCAAGAGACACAGTGGTGGTACAAGAGAGAAAGGATGTATAATACTATAGAGATAAAGGCCATTCTGAAACATTCTAAAGCAATAGTTCACACAAAACCTAAAATTATGGCATTATTAAGTCACTCCAAACTTAAAAGTTGTTTTTTCCATGGATCACAAAAGGACACGTTTTGAAAAATCTTTACATGGTTCTTCTAACTCCTACTTGTTTAAATCTCTTCTTTTGAGTTTCATAGGGAAAAAAAGATGACTAATATAATAGGTGCTGCACTTAGAGATCAACACATAATCGATAATTGAGACGGGTCTACCTACAAATGCACGTAAATGTGCATGCAGTATGCAGCCAGTATGCAGCCACAGTTTTTAACAAAATCCACTCGTGCAATACTTCAGTACTGACAGTATAGTAAAATCATACTCTTTACTTAATTTTCATACAATTTGTGATTTAAAAAGAAAAACTTGGCAAGATAAACTTCAGTCTTGTGCTAATAGCATCATGTATGCAAAAGTTACATTTAGGATGCCAAATGTTCTATAGTGCTAAATCAACTAAATATGTCTAAACCCTAAATTCATTAACACAGTTAACTCATTTACCTAATTTGAAAATGAAGCGGTTTTATTCTGTTCAGTCTAATCAGAAAGACTGAGACCAGAAACATCACAAGCCGACCTTGATGTAACGGTCAGAGGTTATTTATATAAATAATTAATAAAGCGCTGAGAAAAGACTTACTTCATTTGTGTGCAAATACATTTGGCTTGATATTTTGTTATTTTATGTAAGGAAAACTTCATACATGCCAATGTACACTTCTCTTTTAAAAGTCTGAGGTCAGATTTTTTTTAATAAATGTATACTTTTTTCAGCAAAGACATATTAAACGCATCAAAAGTGACAGTAAAAACATTTATAATTTTACAAAAGATTTCTATTTCAACTAAATGCTGAAATGCTGTTCTTTTGAACTTTCTATTCATAAAGGAATACTGAAAAAAAATTCTACAAAAATACTGGGAAAAAATACTACATATTCTCAACTGTGATAATAAATGTTTTGTGAGCACCAAATGTGACAATGAATACTGAAATTCAGCTTTGCCATCACAAGAATAAATGATATATAATAAATTATATGTATTAAAACATTTTCCATGTATGTATTAAAACAGTTACTGTAATTGTAATAGTATTCTCAAAATATTACTGTTTTTACTGTATTTTAATCAAATAAATGCTGCCTTGGTGAGTGGAAGACACTTTTCCTACAGACACATTAAAAAAAATCTTACTGACTTCTTATTGAATGTGAAAGGATCTGACAGCAATTGTGATCTTTTCTGCCTCTCTATTTCGGTTTATTTCAGACTTGGAAATGCATTGTGCTTAACATGTTATTGCACAGCCAATACAGCCAAGGCTGTATCAGCCTCGGTATCAAAAGGAACTCTGGGAGATGATTAAAAGAAGGGATGAGAACTGTTATGGGAGACAGCAAGCAGGGGGCCTCTTAATGTTTGAGTTTCATTCACATCAGCCCCAGCATTTGACTCCCTAAGCAGCGCTTCCCTCCTGAAGAGTCTCTTCAATTATTACCCTCCAAGCTCTACCGCAGCACCGGGGCCTAATGTGTCAAATACAAAGTTGGAGGATGTCGCTCGAAGGAAATTAGATAATGAAAAATCTGAACCTTATGAATTCTAAGCAACTTTCAATATATACACTTGCCCTCACAAATAACTTGTCATACATACAATGAGAGAATAAGCAGATAGTAAAACAAAAACTGAAAGCAAGACTTAAAAAGAATCTACTAATTACATAAAAACTAAACGCACATTACATAAGAATTAAAACATTAAAATCATTGTCTGGTTTAAGCGAGAAACGTTTCTAACCATGAGCTTTGACAAAGTAGCACAATCCACTTACTTTGTGGTAGTATTTCATCACTGTTAAAAGGGATTGTGCGTTCATCTAAAATCATCAAATCACTATTTGGAAGGGTAGTTTGAAGTGAACTCAGCCAGATGATGCAATGGGATGACATGGTCGTCTACAAGAAGTTTCTACAGTTTATGTGGATGAAGACTGTGTAGTAATAGCCTAATAGTCAAATGCATCCATTTGATAATGAATTAAAAATGTAAAAAAAATCATTGATGTTTAACATAAAATAAAGACAGCATCAATGAATCCATTTGCAATCATAAACTTTCTCGGCTCTTTTGAGGCAGCTCTGTCACTACCCCGGCCGCAGGTTTCTGTCACACCTACACAACTGCAACCCATTTTGCTATAAACACAGCTCATTGCCAACTTTGCAGAAACAAATAGACAGACAGAGGGACAGTGACAGGAAGACTGGCAATCCGTCAGGCTATATCTGATGCAGATGGCATGGCTGATAAAGAAAATCTGTCAGGTATCTGAATTGTGTCTCGTTTAATGCCACACAGCTAGACAATCCAAAACATGGCATTGAATATTTGAAATCAAGCTTTCTGTTTAGGCCTTGGTGGAAAACATCCAATTGATACCAGATATGATGAAATATTCTGCGGTGGGTTGCTGTAAATGCAAAGTCGAGGACAAATAAAGCACA